CTTATTCACCATTGTTTTTGAGACACCTAAACATTGCCCAGCACCTAGGAGAAGGGCAGTGAATACCTGTTGAAGGACTATGTTGGATATTATCCTGAGGGATTCTGGGGTCTGAAATAGGTCCAAGAAAACTAGTATGTGAAGCCACCTAGGGCTGTACTGTCCAGTCAGATAACCACTAATGATATGTGGCTATTTAAATTTAAATTGATTAAAGTTAAAAATTCAGTTCCTCATTCTCACTAGGTACATTTCAAATGCTCAGTATCCTCATGTGGCGAGTAGCTGCCATGTTGGATGGCAGAGATAGTGAATATTTCCATCATCACAGAAAGTTGTGTTAGATAGTGCTAGTAGAATAGCATTAGTAGAGGCCTAAGTTAGTGTCTTTTTAAATTAAAATTCCCATGTGACCCTAATGTGCACTCATAATACCAAAAATAGCCTTCTTACACATCTCCCCCCATACTGTAGGAACTTAACCAAGCAAGGTGGTTGGCCCTCAGTGGTGGCTGTCTCTTTGAGATTGACAGACAAACAACAGTAAAACTGTTAGCAAGACTGACAGCTGCTATACACTTACTTGGCTATACCAGTTGTTAAAGTTGTAAAGTATCTGTACCAGTTAATAAAGACCTGCTGGTTTAAGCTTCTCTGGTACTTTCTTCCAGTGCCCAAGAGGCCTTAGCCATTCCTTTAGGATTTCCCAACCTCCGCGCAGTCCAGCAAAATTAGTTAATGTCTGTCTCATCTCTGGGAGTTGATGGATGCTCAAGGACTCTGCACCAGCACTGCAGGCCTCAGATTGGTGGATGCTACCTTTGGCTTCATGGTTCCTTGGCCTCCAGGAGGGATTACTTCCTAAGGCACTCCCATCACTTCCATAGCCACGTCCTACATCACAGATCCATTGGCTTCAAGAAGACCTTAAAGTCATTTCATCCAACCCCTTCATTTTACTGAAGAAATCAAATCTTGGAGTCAGGCAGCTAGTTTGTAGCCAATTAAGAAATAAAACTCAGATCTTCTAACTTGGTGCTTTTTTTGTTACATCTTCTTGTATTCTTTTCCCAGACAATGAAATGTCAATTAATATCTTTATGTCTCACAAAGTTGTTTCTTTAAAAAAAAAAAAGGGCCGGGCGCGGTGGCTCAAGCCTGTAATCCTAGCACTTTGGGAGGCCGAGGTGGGTGGATCACCAGGTCAAGAGATCGAGACCATCCTGGTCAACATAGTGAAACCCCGTCTCTACTAAAAATACAAAAAATTAGCTGGGCATGGTGGCACATGCCTGTAATCCCAGCTACTCAGGAGGCTGAAGAAGGAGAATTGCCTGAACCCAGGAGGTGGAGGTTGCGGTGAGCCGAGATTGCGCCATTGCACTCCAGCCTCGGTAACGAGCAAAACTCCGTCTCAAAAAAAAAAAAAAAAAAAAAAAAAAAAAAAAAAAAAAAGATATTTTATGTATGTCTTCTAATCTGCAAAAAAAAAGCACTCTGTATACATTGTCATGTGATCCCTGTGAGAGGTAGTAGGCTCCGAGGCAGTGAGTGGGGTGCCCAGCATGACAAAGCTACTGTGAGTGGGAAAGTCTGTGTCACTGGGGCTTGGAAAACTATAAACTCTTTTGTAAATGTAAGATAATATATCATGTGGTATTACTTGCTTTTAGTTTGTGGTGTTTTGCAGTTCAGGATTTGGTGACATTGAAAGTAAAACTTTGTTCAAGTGCAAATGATATGTGTGTGTGTGTGTGTGTGTGTGTGTGTGTGTGTGTATATATATATATGTATGTATATATGTATATATATATATATATATATATATATATATATATATATATATTTACTTTGACAGTGTGCCAGTGGCACAGACTTTGGTTCAGCATTGAAACAGAAATGGGTTGCTTCAAAGTATATTTTTAAAATGAGAGAACCCAAATTTGTAATTAGCTTTACATGATAGTTGTATAGTTTGAGTATCCAAGGAGAGTCTGGTAATCATTTGTGTTATTAATGGTGGTTTGTTTTTTGTATTTCCCCTGAAGTAATTAGGCCCTTTGGAAGAAACAAAGGGTACTCTTTGAGGAGTTATTTGTTCTATTATCATTTTATTTTTGACACCCTGTAGTTCTGGCATGCTTAAAAACTTAGTCATATACCTGAATGTGGCAAAGAAGAATCATTTATAAGATATTCGACCCACTTTGACACCAAATTATCAAGAAAATGATGCTTAAATTATGAAGTAAAGCCACAGGGAAGGAAATGGTCCACTTCTCTTTGGTCTTTTGATCATTCTGACAGAAACAATCCTTATTTTTAGATAATATTGTTAGGAAAGATCAATTTAATTCACTCCCAAAATAAGATTGAAATTTTTTGCACCCCCTGTTTCTCAAACCATAACCATCTTACAGTATTAGTGGATGCAGAAATTGAATTTATACATAAGTGAAAGAGTGAGGTTATTTCATTGAATATAACAAAGATCACTTCAATTTGCTTTTATTAGCATATGATTTGTGGCATTCTCAATACCAATTATCCTGTAAGGTTAAATATACATAAAGGGGAAAGAGAAAGATTAGAAAAAGCTATAAATCTAAAGGAACCTGGGACTGTAAGACCTGCTTTAGCATTCCTAATTCATAGCCACATTTGGGAAGAATGTGTTTGTATGTTTTTTTTTTTCAAGTGTTTATTTTATCTATGTCTTCAGGTCTTTCTCCATGTCTAACTTGTTTTGTGTTCCATAACACTTTTATTTCACACCTCTGTATTGTGCTCAAAGAGCTGTAGCCTTCCCCATCTCAATATAGGACGTTCAAAGGCTTTACTCTTGTCTAGAATTTTCTCAGATTTTCTTTGCTTCGTTTAGATGTTATAGATGGTACTGACAAAAGAGTGGAAAGATCAAGTTTGTGATTTATAGCTAGACTTGGAGTCAGCACGGTAATGAGACCCTAGGTTTGGACAGATCTTTGAAATTCTGAAGCTCAAATTTCTACAAACTTATTGGGGAATAAGGAGGACGACTAAATGAGCACATACTTTCAAACTTGCCAGCCACCAGTTTTGATACCAGTGCACTTGGTGTTAAATGAAGTAATACTATACACAAGGATCTGGCATTGGAGTGGACACACTGTTAGCATGCATGAGGGTTAGTCATTAATATTAGGTAGTCTGATTGGATTTTGTCTTTGCATCTTTTTGTGCTTTCTGGCGCCATTCTGAGGAACAGCAGAATGTCCAAGAAAGAAAAATAGCAGAAGAAAGGGAAATACAAAGGCCTCACTACTCTAGAAGCTGAATTATCAGCACATAAGTAATCAGTGGTTTTTCTTCTCATGACGATATGTGAATTATTTCTGAACTCTCTCACATGCTTTTCCATGTGAAGACCCCATGGACAAGTTGCAGCTCCCCCACTGTCCACATCTAACTCAGTCTGGCCTAATAAGGGTCATTTGATGGTAAACTTACATTAACTCCATATGTCTCTTGTTATGTGAAAAACAGCACGTGGTTTACTATCTTCTGTGTAAGGAAAACAAAAATAAAATCTCTTACATTTGATCATCATTGATTAGAATTTTGTTAAGTTGCGTAAGGACCAAGTGTATTTTTTCTGTCTATGATAAGGTTGGTAATTAAATTAACCAGGCATTCATGCTGCTGGAAAGAATATAAATTGGTGCAACCTTTCTAGAAAGTCAAGGCCCTCAAAGTTTATGCCCTTTCATGCAATAATTCCTTTTCTAGGAAACTGCATAAGAAAGTGTTCAGAAATTTAGGCAATCTGATATTCAGATATGTCCCTTAAAGTGTTATTAACAGTAACAAAGAAAAAATCTGCAATTCCAAAAATGATGGAAATAGTTAAATACATAAAATGTATTTCTATCAGGTATAATACACATGAACATTAAAAAGCACGTTTTGAATAATTTTAATAACTTGGGGAAATGCTCATATTTATATAACTCAAATTCTATTTCAGAATTGAATGAAAAAGTAGAAACAATACTCTGAATATGTGCATATATCTGAAAAGAATATTGGTTCATAATCCCTTATCTCCAATTCTAAATCCAAAAGTTTTCAGAAATCAAAGAGGGTTTGGTTTTGTTTTGTTTTAGTAACTTCTTTGGTAGGAAAACTTGGCCTGAACTGATATGAAGTTCTGTTTTACCCCCACTTAATAAGAATAAGCATCTATTTTTGTGCAGAAATATTTAATATTATGGGGTGCTGCTCCATACCATCACAAGATAATAATGTAATAAATGATAGCTGCATCATAATACTCTCAAAATCCAAAAAATTCTGAATTCTGAAACATATCTGGCTCCAAGAGTTTCAGTGAAGGAGTTTCGGACCCATACAACAAAACATCATTAGTGATTTATTGGTGTCAAGGTTACCACTGATCTTTATTTTTTTCCTTTATTTTTTCCGTATGTTGCAAATGTTCTACAGTAAGCATGTATTAAGTTACCTGGAAAAATAAATGCTAATTTTAAAACTAAACACGTTTGAGGCATCAGAGAATCATCTCATTTCAATCAGAATCCCTAAATTAATCATTTGCTTCCTGAATCTCTTCTATTTACAATGGCCACATGAGTCTTTTAAACCAAGGTGTTCTCATTTGCTGACAGAAAATATGAGAGGAAATAGAGAAAGTGACATCACTGGACATGGACCTGTCTCCCAGGCTGCATTTGGATTCAGGAGAACCCCTAGTGAAGGCTGTTCACCTAAAGAAGATATCTCAAGGAATAGGGCTTCCACCCAGGTGTTCATACTACAGGCTATGGTGTCGTATTTTGTTCATGAGGGTTGGTCAAGAGGCCCATAGCCAGAGGCACAGACAGTTGTGTGAGGTCATAACAAGCAGAAGCAGGTATGGCAAGATAGCAGGAGGGAAAAGGAAGGCAACATTCACATGCACACTTTAGTCTGCTAATGGACAACTTTTTCTGCCCAATTAGGTGGACACTCACTGACCTGTCACAAGGTTGACCCACAGAGCTTTGGGGTTCATGTCTGAATGGATTACCGGAGCCTTCTCATCTCTCCCTTCGCCCAGTTCCCTGCATCCTAAGACTCGAAGCCAGCACAGGACCTGGAAAAATTACATGTAAGTTTTGACTAAGGTTTCTTTTCCTTAACTAAATAATGATAAATATTTTCTTAAGTGATAGTAACAAATAGCCCAAGCACACATGAATTACTTTTCTTTTAATAAAGGAGCTGTAGAGTTATCATTGAGCAAAGGAGCAAAGGTTGGAATCTGTATATTGGTGGTTCCTTAACTCAGTGGCTCTTAAATTTCAGCTTGAATCAGAATCACCTGGAGGGCTTGTTAAAGTACAGCTTGCTGGGCCTCATGCCCAAATTTCTGATTCAGTAGATCTGGTGCAGACTAGGAATTTGCTTTTCTAACAAGTTTCCAAGTGATGCTAATGCAGCTGGTCCAGGGACCCCAATTTGAGAATTACTGCTTTAACTCATATGCCTGAAAGGATGAAAATGGTAGAAAACTGTATATACTTGAGTAATATCGTTAAATTTAGGAATTTAATGCTTTGCTTAATACATTGACTTGTGTCTCAGAAGAGAGTTTTAAGGTTCACTTAGCACCTTCACATTTGGAAGTCCAGCCCAGTAGGTGCCATTATTCCATGCCAGCTTTACTCCTGGGCTGCTAGTACCAGTCATTCTTTGCCCCTGGTTTTCAACAAGTGTGACTGATAGTGCTATTATTAGGCTAAAACAACAGCTACAGTACTTTTGCAGGTGTGCTGATCATGCTTTTAGACACACTCAGAAGAGAAAATCTTTTTTCCCCTGGGTTGGGAAATAAGTTGTTCCCTTTCAGAGTGAGTCATCATAGCATTATCCGTCCCCTCACACACTTAAATGTGACTTGATTTATAAAACTTGTGGGGCAGAAAGACAAACATCACATGTTCTCACTTACTTGTGGGATCTAACAATCAAAGCAGTTGAACTCCTGGACATAAAGAGTAGAAGGGTAGCTACCACAGGCCGGGAAGGGTAGTGGGGGTTGGAGGCAGGGCATGGAAGTGGGATGGTTAATAGTTACAAAAAAAAAAATAGAATGAATATGACCTACTGTTTGATAATGCAATAGAGTGACTGTAGTCAATAACTATAAATAATAACTTAATTTTACATTTTAAAAAGAATGTAATGAGATTGTAACTCAAAGGGTACATGCTTGAAGGGATGGATACCCCATTCTCCATAATGTGCTTATTTCATATTTCTTGCCTCTGTCAAAACATCTCATGTACCCTACAAATATATACACCTACTTACTGTGTACCCACAGAAGTTAAAAATAAGAAAACAAAATACACATGGGAAGGGAAGCATACCTCCAATGAATAACCTAAGCCAGCATGTCCAGGTTTTGTGAGATTTTAAGTTCTCAAGACTGACAAACTTTGCAAATCATTATGTCGTGGTGTTAGCTTTCAGACAGGCCCATTCCCTAACTGCTAAGAACAAGAACAATTTATTCCATGTTAATCAAAAAAAGTAGAAGAGTTTGAGTAAACAAATGCACACTTGGACACATGTCAGCCTACATACCAATGTACCTGTGTGCCTGTGAAAGATATATGCATTGTATATTTCTGAGCTTTGATTGTAGGAATTTTAAACAGCATTTTTTCTTTTGTTTCATTGAGTCAAGGTGAGTGTAAAAATAATATGAGTGATACTGTCCGGGAAACATTTGAGAAATTTCTGGGCATTTTAAATCTGTGGATAAGCACTGCAATTTATATCATTTTACTTGGATATGGTAAATGTTATCATTCAAAGTAGCACTTAGGATTCACAGTAGTCTTTTTATAACTCTGGAATTGAGAATAATCACTGTTAATAAAACAGTTGACAAGCAAATATGTAATGAAAGAACAAATGTATTGCTTCAACATTAATAGAGTCAAAAATCCTGGAGATAGACTTAAATGCACAGTAGGTCTATGTTAAAGTGTTTAAAATAAAACCCACAATATCAGAAATAAGACAAAAAGCAGTAAGTATTAAAAGATCTATAATGGAATTAACCCGGAGTGCCTTCTGGGGGCAGCCCAAGGGATAATGGGGCTGGGATTAGGGCTGACAGTTGTGAGTGATGTAATTGTTACTACTCCAGCCTCAAAAATACACTATTTCCAGCAAGCACTAATTATCCTGCACAACATTCCTGGAAAGAAGGTGATCAGTTTATGAGGCATCTTCACTATAAAGTGAAAGGAGGAGATTGGATCAAATGCCCCTTAGTGCCCTCTCCTGCTCTGCCACTCTGTGGATCTCTGCATTTACACATCCAGGGTTCCTGTGGGATAGCCTTTGCTGTCAGTCAGTTTCCTGTCTACAGGTCAGGGAGGAAAGAAGCTATTGGGACTCCTTAAGTGAATCAGGGCTTCAGGCTCCTGCTGGATCTTGCAGGACCTGCCTGGATCACTCCCCAAATCTTTGGACAGAGCATTTAGTCACAGAGTGAGTAGGGTATCTATAAAACTGAATCTGTGGGGCGGGGGAGACAGGAGGGTATGTGGAAAACTTGTGTACTTTTTACTCAGTGTTACTGTGAACCTAAAACTGCTCTTTAAAATAAAGTTTATTAATTTAAAAAATTAAATATTAACAATATGACAATTCCTCAAAAAAAAAAAATTAAACAGGAATGTCAAATGATCCAGCAAATTCCACATCTGAGTATATACCAAAAGAAGTGAAAGTAGGGATTTGAGTAGATGGATGTATGTACACCCATGTTCATAGCAGCATATTTCACAGTAGCCAAAAGTGGAAGCAACCCAGGTGTCCATCAACAGATGAATGGATAAACAAAATGTATATATTAATACATACAATGGAATATTATTCAACCTTTAAAAAGATATGACACATGCTACCATGTGGAGGAACCCTGAAGATGCTAAGTGAAATAAGCCAAACACAAAAAGGCAAATATTAAATATCCTTTTATATGCGATACCCAGAACTGTCAGATTTACAGAGTCAGAGGGGGGAATGGTGGTTGCCAGGAAATAGGAGAATGGAAACATTAAAAGTTGTTGTTCAGTGGATACTAAGTATCAGTTTGGAAAGATTGGAGAGTTCTGGAGATGAATGATGATGATAGTTGCACAACAATGTAACTGTATTTGATGCCACTGAAATGCACACTTAAAAATGGGTACAATAGTAAATTTTATGTTGTATATATTTTACTATAATTTTTTGAAACTTTCCTTCCAAGAGTGCTGTGCAGAATCACTAGCTAGTGCCTGATAGGGATGCTACAGTTTTTGAGGGTACAGGAAGAACAGATCATTATGTCCCTCACACCTCCCTCATCCCTGTTACCCTTTGGGCAGCCTTTAGAAGACAACAAAGGTAAGGGATCCACTGAAGTGTGCTTCAGTCCCAGGAAGGAGTTTCCTATCAGAGTACGGGCACAATTGTCAGAAGCCATCAAGGGAATTTGCCTTAAACAACTGTGGTCTCTACCAAAATGCCATTTACACATGTAGAAGACCTGTTTCACTGGGGAGAAGGAAAGCATGAGCTACCCATGCTCCAGCATTGGGACTGCTCCAGTTCCTCCAGATGGGTGTTCATAAACCAGTCTACTCACAGAGCACTAGTATGGGGAGAGTCCTGGAGCTATGTGCCTGACTGTGGCTCCTGAAGGGTCTTAATCAGCGGAGGTGGACATGTAGGCAGTAACCAGGGAATGCAGACTTGCCATAGATTCAAGTGCAGTAGAAAATGAAAGCTTTGAGAGGAAATCCACAGAGGGTCGTTCTCCAGCTGTAAGGCCTATGATTATTATGATGCCTGTTTTACATTCTCCAAGTGAAGCAGGATTTATCGCCTTATCACCAAATCTCTGTCCTTATGGGTATTATTGTACCCATAAGTCACAGACAGATTAGTGAGTGACCCATAGGCCTGTGAAGAACACACAGGATGGAATTCACTTGGTTAGTCCATTGTGCCCTACTGTTTTTGGCTTTTGCCTTTTATTCTACGTTTCTAGAAATTTGGCCTTGAAGAACAATCAACAGTTTTATAAGGCCCAGTAGCCATACTTTATTAGGTCTTCTTCACTGCCTTTATGTCCTTACCCTAGGGCTGACCAGCAATTAGAGTTCTTACAGAGCTGTACCTAAGGATACACGGTTTCAAAAAGCTCAGAAACTGCTGTCCTAAATTATCCTACTTTCTCCTTAAGATACCAGTGTGTATGTATGTATATATATATATATAGTCTATTACAGAGGCCCTATAGCAGAACCATTATATATAATTTGGCTTAAGGAAAAGGTGTAACTGTAAAGAGGTAAAATGAATTTGTTAAAGTACAATATATATAAATTAGTCCACTCATTCTTACGCCAGACTTTCCAAACAGGCTTAGAAAGAAAATCCTCATGCTTTTCATTTAGGTATTGGAAAACAGGGCAAAGGAAAAGAGGTTTCTGAATCAGTTGCCATGGGGAGCTGCTGAGATACCAAATATAAATATATAGATAGATAGATAGATAGATAGATAGATAGATAGATACTGGAATTAAAGTTTTTTATAGAAAAGAAAATTCAGGTCAGCAAGTCTAAGGGAGAGGAAAGTAAGAACTTACTCATTTTTGACATCCACCCTAAGTTTGAGTTGAAAGGGCATGGATATGGAATCTAATCAAACTAAATTCCACCCCATGAGATGAGTTAATGGACCATAATTTTTGATAGACACACTGATACAGATTTTCCCTGGAGAAGACCATCAAACCAGCAGCCACCTAGACAAAATGACATAAGATAACGAAGACCAAAGACAGACCCTAGCAGGATCTCCTCGTCTCCTTGTGTCATCATTCCCAGGAATCAGATGTGCCTGGTTCCAGACATTAATTTTGTGTTTACTGATGGCTTTGCTGCCTGGGTCCCAGCTAGCCAGAACCCTGAATTAGCTAACCTTCTTTGTACTTCCCCACCCCCTTCCCATCCCTCCCACACACCCCACCCTACCGCACACACCACACTTCCCTTTTTCAGTGATGAAGAAAACAAGATAGCTTTGGTTTTGAGTCAA